TTGAGGCTTAGGAAATCTGATGTAAAAATTTGCTTCCTACTTTTAAGGAAAACCCTAATGCACATATTTATACAGTGAAACCTCTCCTAACGGGCACCTCTATTAGACGGACATCTCCCTTGGGCGGACNAAAACTCTATTGGGCGGACGCGAACCTCTTATCAACGGACATTAAGATTTCTTTTCATAACAAATCAAACAAAAACCTCCGTTGAGCGGACGCGAACTCCTCATAGGCGGACTACTAAATGGAAAAAGGGGACTTCCCGCACAAAATGTGATTGTTATGCACACATTTAGTTTGGTTTGCGCAGTGGTTTAGGTTCGTTATTTGAATTGTCAGAAACCCTTGTAGACTGATAAAAACATGAAAACTATTGATGAAAAAGGTACTGACACTGAAAAAAATTAAAAATAAAACTTACGTCAATCGACAATTTCCCAGTTTTTTATGTAATGAATCTATGGTTTTATGTAATTTATGGACTAAAATGTAATATTTATTTTTATTTTGGTATTACTTAATATGTACTTACGCACATAAATGAAATGTGCATTTTTGAAAAAATACATGCACATTTTTGTTTGAACGATGTAATATCAATATCTTTTATTCAAATAAGAAATAGTGACTATTCAATTAATTAAAACATTAAAAAGTTCTAAAACAGGCTTCCCCTCCATTAAGCGGACACCTCTCTTGGGCGGACAAAAAATGACTGACGGTGAGTGTCCGCCCAAGGGAGGTTTCACTGTATATACCCAATAAACATTGGGCTTGGTTAACAGTTCGAAAAAGATTGGAAAACAAATTTTTTTTTTTAGAGTCTCATAATAACGTATGTGGCATAGGGCCAACAAAACGGAACCTTCGTTATCCAAGGTATTTTCGCTTCGTTATGAATTTGAAATCCAGCCCATTATCGAATTGAAATTATAATGAGAGAGAGTGATTGTCTCATATTTCCCTTCGAGAATGAGCTGGATTTCACTTTCTCTCTTGTACCATTTTTTTCGAACCTATATCGAGTGCATTTCCAATATAATATGAGCATTAGAAAATTAAGGTTGGTTATGAGTTCGTTTTTAGTTCGATGTGCATATTGGATATCGAAGGTAATTTTCGAACGTTCTCCACAATTTTTATTGGGTACCTATATACTTGCACTTTTACACACAAATATTAAAAACAAAATGTGCTGAAAAATATATTTGCAGGCTGTTTGGTTGAATGATTTCCTTGGACCCACTATTCGGAAATCGAAATTCAAAGACATTTTAATATTTGGAAATGACGATCAACGTTATTCTTTCCCAGCTTGGTTTAAAGACGTAAGTTAAAGGTTTTAAAGATTAAGTACTCCCTAAAATAGTCAAAATAGTTACTATATTAAACTATGATATATGAACAATCTTTTTTTTTTGCTGCCCAGCTTAGGCATTGGCTCGATTGGATTGTATTTGATGGAGAGTTTAAAAAATATACAGGAATAGGTGGACGGGAGGGAGCATTACTTCTGGGCAAAGTTTCAACGTTTCTCAGGATCCTTATTCATTCTATTACGCTTACTCCAGGGAGATTTAATTGGATCTTTAATTTTCCTGCAAAAAATTGTGCGACTAATGCCTTAAGAGAGTATTGCGAGATTAATCTTAATGGGGTATAATTGGGCATTAATTAGTCGTTACTAGTCACATCTGGGTACTATTAAAGATCAATTAGTCTTGAATCATCCTTTCCGGTAATAATTGTAGATCAATTAGCCCCCGACTGATCTCAAAGGGGCCAATTATCGATTCAATAAGATGTGTACTTTTAATCACTGAAATTTCATATGCTGCGTTGGCATGTAGACATAGTAGTATACATAGTACTCGCATAGAAAACCTGAGATCCCCGGTTCGAACCTCAGCTGGCGCAAATTTTTATTTGTATCTACTTCTCGTTTTTCGTACTCGTCCGGTATAAAGGGGAACAATTAGTCTCTTCATACGACAACCTGGAGTAAAAGGTAATACTTTAACTCCATATAAAGAGATCAAGAGTTATATGAGTAGCATATCCCTTTGCGATTGCTCCCGGCGTCATCGTACTTTTTTCAGGGTGGCCTCGGTTCAATTGGATGCCCCGTAAATCCGCAACAACAACCCTCAGCCTCTAATTACATTCCTTGCCAATTCTAAAAGATTTGCGGACGGTTTTCCAGATCCTTAGAGATGATCGTATTATTATCTGAGCCTTCTTGCCCACCAGGGTATTGTTTGTAGTGTCGGACAGGGGATTTATTTACAAATAACTTTTGCACCCAGCATTACTAGCAATAAAAACAGCGTTTGGTGTTTTAATAACAAGCATAAATAAGTTTTTTAACTCGCCATAGGTCATCTAAAATAAAATCGATCCGACTAAAATTCAGATTTTAAGCTCTAAGTAGTAAAAGACCCAAGAATTAGAAAACGAAGATCTCTGGAGCATTTGATAGCATAAGAAATGCTTGAATCGTTTAGAAAAGCCTTTATTCGAATTGGTTAAATTATTTATCCCAGCTTGATGTAAGCTACTATTTTCTCCCTTTATTATGAATACCCAAAATTTCAGATGAATCGAACCCGCCTCGGTGTGCTTGACTATCTTGACGGCTTGGCAGTACATTGGTATTGGGATGAAATGTTTGCGCCGACTCTAATCGATTTGACGGCTCAGCTTTTGCCTGGTAAAATTGTGTTAAATACCGAATCCTGTATAGGAGACAAACCATGGCAAACACATGGTCCCGAACTTGGCTCGTGGGAGCGTGGTGAAATGTATGCGAGTAGTTTTTTACATAATTTGCAGCATTCCTACAATGGTTGGATCGATTGGAATATTGTTTTGGATGAACAAGGTGGACCAAACTATGCTGAGAATTATGTGGATGCACCAGTTATTGTGAATGCCACAAGTGAGTTTGATTGCCATTAGGATATTTCATTGCAACAACTTTTTTTTTTATCGAACCTTTATTTTTGTAGACCGCGCTGAGATCTACAAGCAACCTATATTCTATGCCATGGGACACTTTTCAAAATTCGTACCNTCATTAGGATATTTCATTGCCACAACTTTTTTTTTATCGAACCTTTATTTTTGTAGACCGCGCTGAGATCTACAAGCAACCTATATTCTATGCCATGGGACACTTTTCAAAATTCGTACCTGAAGGTTCGGTGCGTATTGATGCAAAAATACTGAGTGCTTCAGTGGAGGCTGTGGCTTTCAAGAGACCCGATGAGCGTATTGCTGTGGTGCTGCTTAATAGGTATGTATGAACCATATGTACGTATGTATATATATATATATGTACATGATACATAGATTTGCATATGTTTGTGGGCGTGTGTTTGCCAGAATGAAGTTAAAAGCGGATGCGTGTTTGCCACGCGCCTTGAGATCTTGCTAAAGGAGGTCTGGCGCGTGCGCTTTGCATATTGAGTGCTAACTTAGCGCCTTTGCGCTGTCATTGGTTAGGTTCAGAAGGCGCAGAAGTTGCTAAAAAAATCAGTGATCATAATGCGCCTTCTGAACGGCTTGATNATATTGCTGTGGTGCTGCTTAATAGGTATGTATGAACCATATGTACGTATGTATATATGTGTGTGTGTGTACATGATACATAGATTTGCATATGTTTGTGGGTGTGTGTTTTTCAGATTGAAGTTAAAAGCGGATGCGTGTTTGCCACGCGCGTGCGTGAGTGCTAACTTAGCGCCTTTGCGCTGTCATTAAGACATTTTTATGATAACTTCATTAAAGTGCATTTAACGCACCCAAAAATTACATTTTCTTGTAACTACATACATATGTACATACATACATACATATGTATAACACGCTTCATGAATGGTTCATAAGGGCATAATAGATACCGCTTGTGTGTAGGAAAATCGTCATACATATGTATGAAAATTAGAGTGGTTCAAAAATAATGCATCATAATTTTATTTTGGCTTAATTTCTGAAAGGAAATGTTCTTACTCAATGAAAAAATATTTACTTTTNCTGTCTCAAATGATCATAACAATTTTACGATCATCTAAAACGCAACTGTTCAGTTGATCAGAAGTGCAAAACAACGCGTTCAGAAGGTGCAATCGCAACAGTTACTGAGCTGTTGCGCCTTCTGAACGTGCCCATTAAGACATTTTTATTATAACTTCATTAAAGTGCATTTAACGCACCCAAAAATTACATTTTCTTGTAACTACATACATATGTACATACATACATACATATGTATAACACGCTTCATGAATGGTTCATAAGGGCATAATAGATACCGCTTGTGTGTAGGAAAATCGTCATACATATGTATGAAAATTAGGGTGGTTCAAAAATAATGCATCATAATTTTATTTTGGGTTAGTTTCTGAAAGAAAATGTTCTTACTCAATAAAAAAATATTTACTTTTAACGATTCAATAACTACTTTATGAGAAAAGGTATTCTCCAAAATATTTTTTTTTTCAATTTGGGAAAAAGTCTCGATATAGGTATTTCCAATCTGACGTGAAATACATGGAAAACATCGAAACCCTGGTGCACAGTGATCTAGTCTCAAAATGTAGGGTGCAAAATAGCGTAGAGCCTGACAGAGCTGACGGGATTTAGACTTGTCATAAAAATGTTGCGTACTTGAATTTTCCCCAAATTAAAAAAAAAAAATAAAAATAATTTTGGCGAAATTATTGGCATTCATTAGCAGNAGTGGTTCAAAAATAATGCATCATAATTTTATTTTGGCTTAATTTCTGAAAGGAAATGTTCTTACTCAATGAAAAAATATTTACTTTTAACGATTTAATAACTTTATGAGAAAAGGTATTCTCCAAAACATTTTTTTTTTAATTTGGGAAAAATTCTCGATATAGGCATTTCCAATCTGACGTGAAATACATGGAAAACATCGAAACCCTGGTGCACAGTGATCTAGATTCAAAATGTAGGGTGCAAAATAGCGTAGAGCCTGACCGAGCTGACGGGATTTAGACTTGTCATAAAAATGTTGCGTACTTGAATTTTCCCCAAATAAAAAAAAAATAAAAATAATTTTGGCGAAATTATTGGCATTCATTAGCAGAAACAGGGGAATCGAAATTCCTACTTTCTCTGCATTTTGCACTTAAAATTTTTATATAAACAAATAAAAATGCAAATAGAAAACTCGGCAAATTTCTTCAGGTTTCACTAAAAAAATAAAATCGGTGAAGAATTTGATTTCAGACCACTGTGCGGCGGCACCATTAAATACATGTGTATATGGATTTATCTTTTCCATTTTCTATAATTCAAGAAAATTCCAAAATTTAGTTCCTTCTGTGTACATTTGGACCACCCTAATGTAGATACATATAGTTGCAAATGAATGTACTTTAAGGCTTTTAAGGTGTTCACTTACTGCTTTCAATTATAAGTACCATCGATTTATTTTCATTGCCCGATATTCCCTTAAAACTTTGTTAAATAAAATGTATGTATGTACATATGCACATAAGAGTGGTACAAAAAAAAATTTCCAAGATAGGGTTTGGGGCACCTTCCAAAATTTTTGCTCTTGCCGAAAGAGGTGCTGGTACCAAACCTAAGTATAAATTTAGAGGATGCTCATGATGCTCATGTTTTACTCTAGGAGTATTGCGTACATATATGTATTAATCAAACAATTGGTTAAGTAACCTAAGAAGATTTCAAATTTAAATCATCAAAAAAAAAAAAAATAAAAAATTCACAAGCTTCAGTTGTCATGGCAACAGTAGATACCTTTTTATAAAAATCAGAAATATTTTAGCCGGTTTCCCAGCGATCCAGTAGCGAATTTCAAAGTCATTGAGCACCCTGTATTGGTTGCTGTAGAAAACTGAAAGTAGGTATAGATATTACAAGTACTAAAAGGAAAAAATTAAAAGGGGGCCCGTTTTCTAGGATGAAATTTTTTACCGCACACTAAAATTGGACCACTTTAATGTACATACATATGTTTTTTTTTTTTTTGTTTAGTTATGCAGCGGTGAAAGTGTTTAATTGATACTTCTTGTAGGCTAGACGCGTCTTAATTGCTTTATTAGACACATTGCCGGCGAGTCGGGTATTTCCATTCTTCGTTTGCACTTTGGGCCACTTCACAAACATCTGCTCCGAAAATGTAAAAGTAGGTAATGTGCACAAAATAATTTCTGGCTACACGCGAGTACACATTTCTATGTACATAGATTTGTACATACATTCGTACTTAGCATAATAAAAATGTACATATGTATGTCGACCTACTCACTTTTACCTACTTAAAGCCTTATTATGCCAACTTAGCTTAACGTAACTTAGAAAATCAAAATTAAACAGATTCGACGTGGCATTAAGTTACGTTAAATTTCGGCTGTTCAATTATAAGTGAGAGACTGCAAGTTACGTTATGTTGCCATAATCAGACCATTACTCTTAAAACTTTGGTCACTTCGATACACACATGCATATCGTCGATGTTTTTGCAAAACCGCCTATGTTACGACACTCAAATTTTACAGACCGAAAAAACGTTTTTACTTTGAAGGCCTTGCCATGGTAGGCGGTATTTTCTCTAGCTATTATTTTTCAACTCTGTTGTTTTAATAATTATTTTATGATTTTTATGCATAAATCTCGATGTCTGGGGTTCAGGGTTAGAAAATCTCATTTTTGCCACAACATTGATTTAGGCGGTTTTGGAAAAACCTCGACGATATGTATTTTATGTTTTTAACATACATACATATGTATATATGTATATAAATATCTTTAATAAAACATTTGTGTTTTGCAGCGGACGGATCCCCATGGATGTGCTCCTCATTGACAGTGTACGCGGTGAGATAGTCATCAATATACCAGCGCAATCGTGGCACACTATTGTCTATAATTAAATTTGCACATTTTGTATTAAGTGGGATGTGCATGGTAAGGTGATCGGCCAGCTTAGATTTTGGCATAGAAAATATTCAAATATAGTACAAATCGTATGTACATACATACATATGTACATACGTTCGTATAAGGGTCAATTCCAAACAAAGTGCTATTTTTTTGTCCCCCCTTTTTAGTTTTTTTTTTTTATTGTGTTAAAAACGAAAAATCAAAAACAGCATTATACGATTCAAATAATAAACCACCAAGCTGTTTTTATTATTGTAAGAGGTTTTGTTTTATTTTGCGTGCGGTATTTCTTTGATATAATATTTAAGGGATTCCCTTTAACTCGTAAAGTCTTAAACTGTGTAAAATTCGAAAGTTTACGAGGCTTTTATGGGAACGCACCCTTTGTGAAAGGTAGCGGACGCGTTTGCTCCCAGGTGCAGGATTTATCATACCGAATATGAAAAGAAAATCTCCCACTCATATACATGGATGACCAAATTTCGAATGGTGGTCTGATAAAACCTAAACCAGAATTCCTTGTTGACATAAAGAAACTGCTAGTAATTTTTAATAAATCTAAAGGAATGGAAATTTCGAATTGCAAAAATTTAATTGCTATATTATTGAAGTTAAGTTCTGATGTAAATTTAGTAGAACCAACATTATTTAATGTCTAATATACGTACTTCAGAATTAAGTATTTGAATAAAAAAATAAATGCTCAAAAACATTGAGATAGTAAAAGCGAGAAAATTGTCAAAACGGTTTTGTGAATGAGTGTGTTTCATTTAGTGTGTAATTTTGTGTAAGTATGCATTTCCGCATTTAAATTAAAACGAAAATCCAATAACTAAAATGAAGCTGATTCTAATGAGAATTTAAAAATTTTCATATTTACAAATATGGTATTATCACCATGTATGGTAAATGCATAACAAAGTGTAATGGGCTGATTATGGATACTTCGCATAACTTCGCATAAACTTCAAACTGTAATTTCGTATGTATTTCATTACCCAGAAATTAACACAACTTTTAAAAACTTAGCGAGCTGTCGAGTTTACATTTTGCTTCACATTTTCTTAAGTTACATTTTTATTGCATTGGAACAAATGGTTGTGCGAAGTTATGCGAGGTATGCATAATCAGACCTTTATGCACACAGTCAGCTATGAGAGTGCTCGACTGAATTGTCACTTCTACCTTGTTGAATATGCCTTGGTATTTATGCTCTGATTTCTTTCACATTTGGCATGTTTCGTTGAAACGCGATAAGATATAGATTTGTAAAAAATGGAGCCGCTGGTGGCGCTGATGTCAAAATAAAAAGTACGTTCGACATAAAATGCATAATTTCTTTCTGTTAAAAATAATTCTCTCAAGAACAATATTAACAAAACTTTTTCAATGGAAATTTTAGTAACGTAACGCCAAGTACCGTCACCTCAGGTAATTCAGCTGATTAAACATAAAGCAGAAAAGATTTCTATATTAAAAAACTTGCAAAATTAACCTTAAACATTACCAAATTACTACAAATACTTTTATACAAACAGTCTTGCCCTATTCGCAGAGTTTTGCAATTTTGTAACCGAAGTCAAAATCCACTTCTGTTTTTTGTAACGTCACGCCATCGCATATGTTTACTAATACTTTTAAATCGCTACTACCAACCAGGGATGCCGTTTGGATCTAAATAGATTAGATACATTTTTAGACGACTTTTTGCGGGATACTTATTTCTTCCGGTCAGTATAAATGTGGATACTTTTTTAAATAGGCCAAAATTAAAATTAAAGTTATTTTCGTTTAAAAATCGATTTTCATTAAAGATGGTAGAAAGCATTACCTTTTATAAACGTATAAAGAAACGCTACTTAAGCGTGAAATTAAAGCATTTTATTTTTTGTGAACGAAGCAATGAACATATGAAGAGATCTCACCAAAATAGGTACAA